ATTATATATATATATATATATAATAATATAATTATATATATATTATATATATATATACCAACTGTCAACAATAGGTTCTTCTATTTCATGAAAATGAACAAAATTTATATTTTGACTAATGGTGTTTGCTTCCTGAAATAGGCTCATAACCCTACCTTAATTATTGAAGAAGGTAACCATTTGCCATCTTTTTCCTTCTTAGGCTGTGAGGTTGAGATTCTTGGTGTCAGACCTACTTACTGCCTAGAATATAAAAATGTCCCAACGGATATCAATTTTGCCAATGCAGTGAGCGATGCTCTTGACTCCTTCAAGTAAGTGTCCCAAAGTCTTAGTCATGCCATTGTTCTTCATGGTTTTTAGGACTGGTAATGAATGCTAAAGTGAATTAAGAAGGTTTGGCATGGGTGGAATAATGTCTTAGAAACGTGGTGAGCCTCTTGCATGGTGAATGTTAACTACTACCAGAGAATAATTGTGAGTGAGTCATTTCAGGTAGGGGCACTCTATGTAAATGTTGAATTGGGAGCAAGAAAGTCCCCGAGGGTTTGGGACTTTCTTTTTTATGTTGATGGACAAGAGAGAAGCAAAATGAATATCAACATCTCTCTAATTTAAGATTTAAGGGAATACTTGTATTTCAGAAAATAATTATTTGGCAAAAAGGAAGGATCTGTGGTGAAATAAATTTGGAAAAATTGCCTACTCTACCCTCTTCTTGGTAATGTACGAAACACATTAGCATATTAGCACATAGAACCTTTTCTTCCGCTCCCACATGGAACAATGACACAGAACTTTAAAAGTGTAGAAATAAGTAATGTTGTCCTGAATAGCACATAAGAGTCCGTCAGAGACAGGGCACCATCAGAGAAGGGGCACCTGGGTGGCTCAATGGGTTAAGCATCCTACTCTTGATTTCAGCTCAGGTCATGATCTCATGATTCGTGAGTTTGAGCCCTGCGTTGAACTCTGCGCTGACAGCACGGAGCCTGCTTGGGATTCTCTCTCTCCCTTTCTCTGCCCCTCCCCTGCTCAGGCGCGCTCGCTCTCTCTCTCTCTCTCTCTCTCTCTCTCTCTCAAAAATAATAAATAAACTTAAAAAAAAAGAAAAGAAACTGATCAACACGAAAGGTCAGGAGAAAGCTTCAAGTCAGTCTCAGAAGCTACTAGAAGTGAAAGTCAAGATGGGAGACCGGGTGGGGTCTACTTGAGAAATCAGCAACCAAGAGGCTAAAGATGCTGGGGGCTCTCAGACTTCTAGGGCTGGATTTGAGATCCCCTTGGCTGTTGAATGAGTCTCCTGGGTGGGATCAAGGCAGAGGGCCCGTAGTAATCAGCGTGGAGACCAGGGAGGGACATTTATTCTCCCAGGAGGAAGAGCCAGGTTCCAAGCTTGCAGACCCCGCGAGCCAGCATATCCTAGGTGCTGCGTACAGCTCACTGGCACTAACTCCATGAATTGGCCCAGAGCTGAGATTCCCCAGGTGTAGAGTTGACCGATCAGGAATCCCATTCTTGCCATCACCACCTAACCATGGCAGAGAGGAGCAGTCACCCCCACGGAACTACACGGGGAGAAAACAACACCCCTGCCTTCGTTGCTTCTTCGAATAATTCCACGTCCGTGAAACCCATCAAGACGGTCTTTTGAGGCACAGGAAGTTTCAAGCTCTGACAGGTTGGAGAGGAAATAGGTTTGAAATACTTTAAAACTGAGATGTAACAAGTTTAAAAGTTTAGATTTTTTTTCTGGAGGGAAGAGGGAAAGGGCAGGGTCTGGGAGCTTTAAATAAATATTATGAAATATTAAATAAATATTCTTCAACATATGGTTTATAAATCATATGTGTTATATGATTCTGCCTCCTACCTACTCTGCTTTCTTTCCCTTGCCCACAAGGGCTGGAAACCACACACATGATGAATTGGAATATCGAGTTGCAACCCAGTTTGTGCAAAGCCAAACAGCACCACCCGCCCAGCGGCTGAGCAGAGCTAGAACTCTGGAACAGCTCTGTGTCTATACCGTGCTATTTCCAACACATCCGAAATGCTAGCCACGCCCCCCCACCCCCCACAGCCTATTGCTGTGCTGAATATGAACACGCGAAGACCTCCAAATAACCCAACACTCTATACGGGAGTGTAATCTTTTACACATTCGTTTTGCTTTGACAGCTGAAT